TTTCTAGATAATCTAGAGGGATTTTGTTCAGGTGACTTTGTTGTAAGCCTAGTCCACAATGTGTGTCCACAATCTGTGGGTTCTGGGATATTCTTGCATATTCCATTCTTGCATATTCCAAAAAATCCAATTATATAAGGGAACATGGCCCCAATTAAGCCCTTTTGGGCTGTTTTTGGGGACCTTAATTTGCAGCTACGACGACCAGATTTTAGGTATGTAAAGGTGAGGAGCCCTTCTTTAAAGGAGAAAAGGATTCAGAACTCTACCCCGATTAAAGTATAAAAGGTTAGAGAAAAGACTGGTAAAAACTGGCTTTCGGCCACTTGGGAACATAAGTGCCATTTGGTTAGAATCCTTTAATTTTGGTCAATTTTCAAACACTTGTAAATGGATTTCTTTTATGAACTTGACATCTGATGGACAAAAGAGGACCCTCTTCAAGGTTCAATTGGATTCGAGTCATTAGCATGCTGCTAACAGAAGTTAGCTTTCCCAAGGGTCTGCAGAAATCTTGCTTTAGATCCTGCATCACGTTATCAAAGGGGAATTATTCATGCAAAAATCAGGCAGATTTAATGGCCCGTTTCTCACTTACCTTAGCTTGCAGCTACGACCAAAATTACTGCCAAATTAAGTCAAAATGCCATAAATTCCTATGGGAAAAGTGTAGGGAATTTGCCATTGATATTCATCCCATTTAATCTGTGGGCAAAGGTCGAATTACTGTGACAATTTCAGCCTAATGACTGGCTGGTCCACAAGGATGGTACCATGTTCAAAATGGACATGTATGGTAGGCTGTATTACCTTAGCACTGTAGAGGATGAAAATGTTGATGAAGTGTATGGTTGTCATGACATTCAAACTTGGAATAGGATACTTGGTCATTGTAATTTTGATGATGTTGCAAAATTAGAAAAGGTGGTTGAAGGGATGTCTATAAAAGGGAAACATGACAAGTCCAACCAAAACTGTGAAATATGCACACAGGACAAGTTTACACAAAGCAGAAACAGACAGGCAGACTCTAAGCTACAACCGTATTAGAGCTAGTACACACAGACCTATGTGGTCCGATAGAACCAGCAGATAAAGATGGATACAGATATGCAATAGCATTTACTGATGATTAAAGTGGGATGATTTTTCCGTACTTTATTAAAGCAAAGAGTGACACGACAAAAGCTACAGAAAAATTCATAGCAGATGTAGCTCCATATGGAAAGATAAAGTGTATAAGGTCTGATGATGGCACAGAGTTTACCGGGCAGGAGTTCCAGTCTTTACTTAGGAGTAACTTGATAAGGCATGAGAAGAGTGCACCCTACTCACCTCATCAGAATGGAACTGCCGAAAGAGGTTGGAGAACCTTATTCGAGATGTCTCGATGCATGCTATTGGAGAGTAACCTCCCAAAGCAATTATGGACATATGCTGTACAGACAGCAGCTCAAATCCCCAACAGGTGCTACAATAAGTGGCTAGAGCAGACACCTTACCGTGTTTTCACAGGAAAAACACCTAACCTATCTAACATGAAGATATTTGGCTCTGAATGCTACGTATATCAGCAGGATAAGAAAAAGCTGGATTCTAGATGCAAAAAGGGGATCCTTGTAGGCTATGACAAATATAGTCCAGCATATAACGTGTATTATCCCGAGACAGGAAAAGTCCTCAAACATAGGCTGGTGAAATTCCTCACCAAAGGTAGCGCAGATAGCCAGACTCAGACAGATTGTGACATGGGGGAAGATATTGAGAAAAGAGATACACCACCGAAGATAGTCAACCAGGGTCAGGGACAGCCTAAGGAGAGTAAAGAGTCAAATGTTGAGGAGACTGCTGAGGCAGGTCCGACCCAGACAGATAGTACTCAGAGAGAAGAGGGAGAAAAGAGATACCCTGTGAGACAGAGAAAGGCTCCAGAATACTTAAAGGAGTACTAGTGTAAAGCTGAGTGTAATAATGACGAAAGTGAAAATGTAGATTATTTCTACAGAGTGGCTTATGATGTACCTAAAACACTTAAAGAGGCAATGGACTCTAAGAAGTCAAAAATGTGGGCTGACGCGATGAAAGAGGAGATGAACTCTTTGACAGAGAATAATACTTTCACTCTGGCCCCGCTGCCAAGAGGCAAACAAGCAGTGGGAGGTCGCTGGGTATATGCAGTTAAAGAGAGCCCAGATGGATCTGAGACTTGTAAAGCCAGATATGTCGCAAAGGGGTATAGTCAAGTAGAAGGGATTGATTATAAAGAGACTTTTTCACCGACAGCCAACATGACCTCTGTACGAGCATTAATGCAGGTGGCTGTACAGGAGGATCTTACCCTACACCAAATGGATGTGAAGACTGCTTACCTCCATGCTCCAATAGACTGTGAGGTATATATGGAGCAACCGGAAGGTTTTGAGATCAAGTCAAAAACAGGGGAACACTTAGTGTGTAAACTCAACAAGTCATTGTATGGTTTAAAACAGTCCGGGCGGAACTGGAACATGTTACTGCATGATCACCTTACAGAGAATGGTTTTGTGCAAAATGATGCTGATCATTGTGTCTACAGCAGAAAATCTGAGAACGAGAAAGTGATTCTGTTAGTGTGGGTAGATGACTTAATCATAGCAGCGAGTAACAACACCTTACTCAGTGATGTAAAAGAAATGTTGAAGAGAAGGTTTAAGATGAAAGATATGGGTCCACTTAAACACTTCCTAGGTATCAATTTCAGACAGAGTGAGGGAGAGATCAAAATGACTCAAAAGATACACATAGAGAAAATATTAGCGAAATTTGGAATGTCCGAATGCAAACCGAGATCCACCCCATGTGAGCAAAAGTTAAATTTTGACAGTGAGGGTGAAGTTATCGATTTGACAGGATATAGAGAGATAGTAGGTAGCTTGATATACATTATGACATGTACCAGACCTGACCTGAGCTGGGTTGTGAGTAAACTATCTCAGTACCTAGCAGAACCAAAGCAACAACATTGGGCTACAGCAAAACACATACTGAGGTACTTAAAGGGTACTATAGATCAAGAACTACACTACCGGAAATGTGAGGAAAGCCTACTACAGCTGGAGGGATATAGTGATGCTGATTGGGCAGCCGATAAGGATGATAGGAGGAGCACAAGTGGATACTGTTTCAGCTTAACTGAGAATGGTCCAGTTATATCGTGGAAGAGGAGGAAACAGCCAACGGTGGCATTATCCACCTGCGAAGCAGAGTATATGGCACTTGCAGCCACTACTCAAGAGAGTATGTACCTTGTACAACTACTTAGAGGAATAGATAGTAGTAACCAGCATGTACCAGTCAAGATATATGAGGACAACCAGGGGGCGATAGCTTTATCTAAGAACCCAGTATGCAGACAGAGAACCAAACACAGATATAAAGTATCACTTTATACGGTCTGCACACGCAGAAGGGAAAATATCTATAGAATACTGTCCTACTGCAAACATGGTAGCTGATGTTCTTACCAAGCCAGTGACAAAGAATAAGTTTGAGAGTTTCAAGGGGTATTTGTTTGGTGAGTAATGTGAACTGACAGATGTAAATGTTTTTGAAGTTTTTAGAACACCGCCAGTATGCAAAATGTTTTATTTTGGAGTTATGTATTTTTGGTTTTTATTTACCACCATAGAGAGCTATACACATGTCTTTGAGTGGGAGTGTTGAGCATATTCCTTATACGAGTAGTAAAGCCATGTTGAGTGGCCTGTGCAGTGATGTCACGTGGGAGGATGTATGCCTGTGTGCACTGGGGTGCTGTTGTGCGCATGCGCAGAATAAACGGTCAGTGAGTTCCCAGACCAAAGAGACGATGGTAGTCTGCCCTTTTTCTCCCGTGAATGCTAGCTACTAGGAGCTATTAGCTAACCACTTTGGTGACTGTAATAACGAAGATAGCTGCAGGAATGTCTAACGCTACAAGGAGGAAGCGGTGCAGGAGGGGACAGATGCAACCTGTGGGAACCCAGACTGTATCCAGGAGAAGCAGAAGCTGAAGGCCTCCAACAGCCACCTCCAGCTGGAGTTGGAAAAGAGCCTGGCCACCTCAAAGAAATTGGCAAAGAGACTGAGGAGGCAGGGACAAACTGTGAGTACGGCTGGAAGGTGAGAAGCATCATACTGGTTGTCAAAATAGTAATAATAATTATATCCTCTGCATTTCTTTTTTTCTTTCTCTCAGCCAAGACCAGTTGTAGCAGCACAACAGGAGGCAGAAGAGGGGCTGGACTCCGGGGAAGAGGCCGGGCCAAGCGGCGTGGCGCATACTGCAGCACAGTTGACCCAAATAGGAGAAACCCATGCCGGGAGCAGTGCTGCCCAAACCCCGGAAGCATTCCGAGGCAGCGGGAGAGGCCCCGGCATGAGGCACATTCCCCTGGCACCATCCATTGGTAAGAAGGAAAAGTACATTATGTGTGTGTGTGGTTTAAGATTATATTTCAATGTTACATTTTTAAAAATCATTTTCAATTTTAATCACAGTGACATACCTCAAGGCTTACCGCGAGGCACACTGCCCTTACCACGAGGGCAGTGTGCCGTCGTTCAAACAAAAGGGAAACGCCCTGTCGCGTGTGAGCAGGGTCAAGTCCTTCCTCTTCTTCCTGTCGATGGGGAGGAAGGACACCACCACTTGGCTCTTTATGGACAACCCTGAGGGCATCAGCAAGTAAGCCTTGTTTTCCCATGCAAATTGAGCAGTTGTGACACCAGACTAATGTGAACAGCGAATAAATGCCAGTTTCTTTCTGCAGCTACGCCACCCACCTCCTAACGTCAGGGAAGCAGGTCATGACAGCCAATTTTTATTTAAGAAACATCCTACAATTCGTCCTGTACTTTCAAGAGACCCCGCCACCCTTGTCCAGGCTGTCCAAGCTGCAACTGACCACCGTGGTCAGGAGCGTGAGGTCTGCGCTGAGGAACATTACAAAGCCGGTCGTCCTTCACCAGCTTAAGGTGAAGGCGACGAAACTAACCCATCTGATCACCAGACAGCTCCTGGCAAGTCCGGAGGCTGTCCCGGGAAAGGATCCCTGGGATACTGAGTAAGACAGTTGGCATATCTCAACGCCCAATACAAAGATGGTAATAAACCTGTGTCTCTCTCCAATTTGCTGAAGGTGCTTTTTTTTCCTTCTCTCTTTTGCCCTGTACTCTTTTCAGAGCGCATCGAGAAGGAAGCAGATCCCTCCTTGCACTACATGTTTTATGGATACCTGTCAGCATTCGTGGCTACCGTGGATGAGGTCAAGGCTGCCAGGGGAGGTGCATGCGGCGACCAAAGGCGACGGTTTTGTGATCTGTGTATGTACCAGGTTCTACACTCAAGTGCCTCATCAACTGCGTGTTTTATTTGAAATGTTTGATGTTGTTTTCTGTGTATTGCAGGTGGACAACCACAAAACCACCAAAGATTTCGGGCCGGCCCAGATCTATATGATGGAGGAGGAATTCGGGTGGATAGATAAATGGATCGAGCTGTGGGCCCTTTGCCACCCGCAGAACAACCGGGTGCTCATCACCGCCGGATTAAGGTTAAGGTTAAGAACCTGGTCCGATATTTCCAGACGGCGTGGGTGGAGATGGGCCTGTCGGGGAGGCCCACCTTCACCGACGTCAGGACGGCGGTGTCGGGACATGCAAATTCATTTTTTCAGTCACTCTCCCCTTGGTGCTTTATTACAATAACACTTGGCTGGCTTTGCTAACAAGTACAAACATTTTGTGCTCCTCTTTTTTACTGTGTCCAGGCCAAAGACCACCATCGAGATGAGGTGCGGAACAAAATTGCCGCATTTATGTGTCACAGCACCGGCACAGCAGACCGGTTCTACTCCCTGGCGCTGGACTGCAGGAGGGCCAAGGAGCTGCGCCAGCAATTTGAGGACATTGTTGCCCCCTCCTCTACAACCACCACCACACCTGGCCCATTCTCAGCCGCACCGGTGGACTCGCCCTTGGCCAAAAGAAAGACAAAGATGATGGACTCGGATGAAACCGAGGACGACGACGAGGTGGAGTACCAAGAGTCGGGGGGGCAGCGCCGTGGAGGAAATGGCTGACCTGCAGGAGGAGGAAGCCTTCACGCTCATGGTGGAAAGTGTAAGTAAAGATATGTTCTTTGAAGTACATGACAGTTGTGTGAAAACGAAGCCTCCAATGATAGACTCAATGTGTTTTTGTTTGTGCTTCCTCGACAGACTCCAGTGAAGAAAGTGCCGGCCACGAGGCCTCCGTCAGTGAAGCTCAGCCCAATGGAGAAAAGGGTGACGCTCATCTGCCAGAAGGCGAGAGAGAGGGTGACCAGGGCGGCGGTCAAACGCCTCAAGGAGGCTGCTGGAGATGACACAAATGAAGTGTCTTCTTAAAGTTGTCCTCTTCAGGATAAATTGGCAGTAGCTCATTTAGATCAAATTGGACGAGTTTGACTTTTGGGCAAAATCAATGCCATTGCCTTACTTTGCCTGAGATTTCAAAGCATTTGAGTTGGGGCAATCCGAAACAATTCCGCAACTTTGTAAAATTATTACTCGGCCGCCGTAGGTCCGAACCGAACGCCCTGCGCCCGCGTATAACACGGGCCAAGATGTTATCGGAACCCGGGCCCTCCCTATTTTTAGAGGCTCCATTTGTCCACCTAATCTTTCTCTGAAAATCGCCCGATTAATTCTTATGTCCGAATGGGGATGTAGGCCGAATGGTTTCGAGAGTCCTAGGGCCGGTAAGGGACACTACATCGGTGAACTGTAAGGACCCCAGAGAAGAGACTAAATGAACACAGGAAACCGACAAATGTCTGAACACCAGAGCAAAACTGGTCACTGTATGGACTGGGAATAGATCAGAGAATGTTGGAATTAGTTGAGACAGAGTAGGTCGAGTTGAATTGTATGCGAGTGAAAAACTGTGCTACTCTAGCTTGTGCCTTATGCCATAGAGCTCGAATATCCAAAAATGATTAAACATCGAACCATGTCATTGCATTCAGTGCTATATTTATTTTTGAAAAGTCTGGCATGATTACTTTATTCTGAAAAAACTCCCAAACATAATTACAGTAGTAAAGTTGACAGTATGCCTCTGTTATTATATGAATTTCTATGTTTAATTATATAAATAAATGTTGGAGACATATAAGTCATTGTCACCGAAAATGAATAGAAATTACAGAACAGATTTATTTTGTGAGCAACTTCTACTTTAAATATGAGATTGCATCCTAGACTTTCAAGCTCCCCTTGTAGATGCCATCATACAAACTGAAAATAAGGTAAATGCTTCCTTTGAACTCTTGTGTAGGTCACAGACAATGAGGACGTATGGACTGACGGAATGAGAGTTGGCATTGTGATGGTGAAAGTAGGAGAAGACATCATTGACCCGGGACCCCCACTGACACTTACATCCCCAGGACATTTTTTTCTTAAACACCCTTGCAGTCCTTTCCCTATTAATATACATTTAAATAATATAATTGTTTTAATATACACTTATCTGTATGTTTATTTACCATATATTTTATTGTACATTTCTTTATGTTTCTATTTTTAAATCATATCTTGTATTTTGCACTGTGTTGATTGTTTAATGGTATGCACCATCCACCGTGTCAACTTCCTTGTATGTGCAACATACTTTGGCAAATAAATGGTTCTGGTTCTGATTCTGGATGTGTCAGTGGTCCTTGAGGAAGCAGTCATCCTATCTGATCTGAAGGACCTGAAGAAACACCATGGCCATGCTGATGAGTTTGCATGTTGCCATTAACATAGACTATCCAAAGGAACTGAGGTACACATTCGAAGTTATTCAGAAGGTCCTCATGAACATTGGTGGAGGACAATGTTCCTCACTTTTGCATGGATTCAAAAACAGACTGCTGTGAAAAGCCATGTAAGATTGTGCTCTGTTGACTCATCTCACTTGCAAGAGTGTTAAATAAGAACTTTATTTGCAAGTTCAAATTTCTGTTTTGTACATTACTACATGGGCAGACTGCAGACAGTTTGCAGAAGAAATTGACTCCAGCACGATACCATGTAAAACTGATTTCTGATGGCTCATCTCATGCAAGTGCATCACCCTAAAAAAAAGTAAGTTCATTATTGTATGTTTTGCACTTATACTGTACATATTTTGCACTTACTTAAATGAGTGGATAGCTCAATCTTTTAGAATGTTTGTCTTTTAAAGCTACCAATTGAAATATTTATTACTCTGTGTCACAGTTCAGTCCTATGTAATTTATAATCAGATACTGAGTGGTGCGGGACCATGATGTAGAACCAGTGACGTGTGATTTATTTTTTGCTATTTTCAGTTTTATTGTGACAAGTGATAAAGGGCATGTGGAGTTGAAGAAAATGCTGCACATGTAAACCCTTACATTCTTTTAAAATAGCAATATTGTCACATGAATACTTACAATGTTTTTCAGTTCTACATCTTTTGTAGGAGGTTAAGTAAATCTTGAGAGACTGTTGAAAAATATGTGTGGCCTAGTACTGGGCTGGATGACCAAAAATTTGTATCACGGTATTTTTTAAGATTCTGGCGGTTTCACGGTATTTTTGTTTTT